CAAACAAAAGGATCACAGGAGGAGACTCACTACACTTCTATCTTTGACATATTTAGATAGTACTATCCTCTATGTTTGTGTAGAATTGAAATAATACGATTAATAAGGTTGATTAAGTAACTGAACTTTGTACACTACAAATAGAAAAGACTAATTTGTTTGCCAGAGCCCATCAAACATTTACGAAAATTGATCATATACTAGGCCATAAAGAAAAATTCAATATAATCCCTAAAGCAGGTATAGTGCAAACCTCCCTCTTTGACCACAGTGAAATTCAGCTAGAAATTATTGTTATTTTTTAAAGATTTATTTATTTTTATACAAGAACCAGGGTACAGGTCAGAGGCACGGGAGGGTGAGAGGATTCACCAGAGACAGAGTGGGGAGCAGAGCAGGCGGACAACAGAAATACACTGCTGAGGGGAGCAGTGGGTGTGACAGGGGCGATCTGCTTCATCATATGGAATTCTCCCCAGCCACGGGGATTGAACCGGCACTGCAGAGGCTGCAGACAGCTTCACAGCCCGGTGCTCAACCTGCTGCACCACTGGATAGGCCCCCTTCAGCTAGAAATTATTAACAAAGTTTAAATTAAAAAGTTAACCATTTGAAAATAAAAAGCAACTTTTGTAAATAACTCAAAAGTTACATAACAAACTATTTAAAAATAAACTACAACGCAAACACCACATATCTAAACATATGGGAAGATGGTTAAAATGTTATAGCTCAATGTGATGAATTTCTTTTTTTTATGCTTTTTTTTTTTTTTATAGAGGCATGTTTATTTATTTATTTTATTTGTTAGTTTGTTTTGTTTATACATGCACTGGGTACAGTCAGAAGCATGGGAGGGTGAGAGAATTCACCAGAGCCGAGCGGGGAGCAGAGCAGGCAGAAGGATCGAAGTACACTGCTGAGGGTAGCAGCGGGCGGCAGAAGAGGTCTGCGCGCCATGTGGGACCCTCCTCTGGTGGCCGGGGAGCAGCCGGGAATCGAACCAGCTCCGCAGAGGCCGCGAGCAGCTTCACAACCCAGCGCTCAACCGCTGCGCCACCGGGGAGGCCCAATGTGATGAATTTCTTAAATAAAAAAAGAGTAAATGCCAATTAAGATAAAAAGCAGAAGAAAAACGACAGAAGTAAAAGATAAATCTATGACTTGTATTTTTTTAAAAAGATTTATTTATTTATGCATACAAGAGCTGGGGTACAGGCCAGAGATGCGGGGCGGGGTGGGGGTGGTGAGAGGATTCACCAGAGACAGAGTGGGGAACGGAACAGGCAGACTGACTGAAATCCACTGCTGAGGGGAGCAGTGGGCGAGACAGGAGAAGTCTGCTGTGCCATGTGGGTAGCTCCCTGGCTGCTGGGAATGGAAGTCGTGTTGCAGAGGCTGCGTATTGCTTCATGGGTTGCGTCTTAACCCTTGCGCCACCAGGGAGGCCCCTATGGCTTGTATTTTTTAAAAGTCTAATGAGTTGGGTAAGCCTCTAGCAGATTCTAAGATAATGAGCAGAGAGAAATGAATGCACAGCACTAGGAACAAAAAAATTAAAATATATTAAGTAAACCCTTACGGTAATAAAATACAAACAATTTGAATTTGAAAATACAAACAAATATCTTACAGGAAAATACACATAATCAAAATCAGTTCAACAAGTAGGAGAAAAAATAATTTATTACAGAGTAAATAGAAAAGACATGGAGAGAACTACTTTCTAGGGAAGTGTTGGGTCCTGACACTTTTACTGGAAAATATTCAAATATTCTGTTTTAGGACACAGCAAAGATGGAAAGTTTCCACAACTATCTCAAGAATGTAGCATAACCCTAAAACAAAGAGTTGGCAGATAGCACAAAACTGCAAACCAATCTCTCTTAGGAATATGAGATAAGTCCTAAATAAAACACCAGCAAATAATCCTGGTGAGACTGTTTGGGTCATAAGAAACAAAAATCTTCCAATAAGCTCAGGGAGGGGGGAGATTCCTTAGAAGTGTCCAGAGATCTCATGGAATTAAGGAAGGTAACATGCCCGCTACCACTCCAGTGGACACAGAAGTTGTCAGGGCAAATGAATGCATAATTTCACCTTTCCCTTTACACTAGCACCCAGCATCACACTGCTCGGGACCATCGTTTTTCAATTTGACTTTTAGAGTCTCCCATGGTCCCAAGTCTAACATTACCAAGTCTTTACCATAGTCACGGCGACATCTGCAATCTCACCAACCTTCCCAGCTGAACTTCCAGGCTGGTTTTGCACTTCCCACTGGGGCTAGACAGGTCCTATGACCTTACTTCAAGCAACGTGTGCCACTTCTTGGTAGGAAGACTAAACTGCCGGTACCAGACTCTCCAATTCTATTTCCCTTGCCTCATATAGTCAACTCAATATGAAGAAGAAACAGACCTTTCTCAAGCCACAAGGTTTTGATGTTATGTATTTCTGCAGCATAATCTAGCTCATCCTAACTAATTCAATGATAAAGAATATCTACCTCAAGCTAAGAGCCAGTATCATAATGATTAAGTACTGGAAGCATTAGAATAAGGCACAGATGCTTAATCATGCTTCTATCATTTTACATGGCCCTCATACTTCTAAACCAGCAATAAGACAAGAAACATAAAGGACAACCACTAAAAAGGAGACAAAACTATCCTTATCTGTGGATAATATAATTATCTACTTGAAAAATCCAAGGGAAGCGAATGAAATAATGGGAGAGTTCTACAAATATGGTCAGTGATAAAACACACATACCCAAAATAAAATAGCTTTCTGGCTAATAAAAGCCCTTTCTGGCTTTCTATTGGACTGCTGTGTTTTCTTTATTTCCGTTTTCTCTCTATTGGTTTATAAGTCATATATTCCACTTCTGCTGTTAGAGGTTATCTTTAAATTTTTCTCATGTATAATTGACTTACCATAATCTACATCAATCTTCTACCCTCCTCCTAGACCGTTCAGGTCTCAGAGTGATTTAACTCCAATTGTACCTTCCAAACACCATGTATGATTGCCTACTGCTTTAGTTCTAGCTTGTTTTGATCCTGCATTTAACATTATCATTACTGATTTTATAGCCAGTTCTCATTTAGGTTTTATTCATGTTTTAATATCTTTGCTTATCACATACTTGATAGAGGGCTTGATCTCCTTCTTGCTTAGTGACTCCTTGATTAGTTCTTTTAGAAAAACTCTGACTGTGGTAGTTTCTCAATCTTCGAATGCATTGTCTTTATTTTGTTCTTGCTCTCGAGAGAAAGTTTAGTTAAAAGAGAGTTTAATGGTTGACAGGTACTCTCTTTCACCATGTTGAAGATATGATTTCATTGTCTTTGGGGCTTTATCGATCCTGGTGGTTTCGGCTGTTTCTGTGTGGGCTACGTGGCTTCCTGGTTAAAGCACGTGCTCAGGAGGCCTAGGCTACTGGGTCCTGATCCTGACCCTGCCATTCGTCATTGCATAGTTTTGTGCCCAGTTAGTTTCTGCTCACAGTCTTCCTCTTTAGGCTGGGCTCAGTGGGGCAGTTCTTCTGCTGGTGTTGCCTAGAGTAACTCGTGTGGCTGCTGTTATCTGGGGCTTAACTGGAGAGGAGGGTTCAGGACGGCATGATCAAAGCCTGTCAGTGATACTGGCTGTGAGGTGAGTCACCTTGGTTCTCTGCTACCAGAAGTCTACACTTGATGTGGTGGCAGAAGCAGTGGAAGGCAGCAGAAGTAGAAGATACAAGACTTCTGAAGGTCTAACTTTACAAGTCACATAACATCACTTCTGCTGCATTCTTGGAGTCAGAGCAAGTCTCCAGACCAGTCCAGACTCGAGGGTGGGGAAGCCAACTTCCTCTGCAGCAAGCGTGTCCTCTTACAGGGAGGGGCATCAGGGTCATGTCGCAAGAGGTCATATCACAAAGGTCATAGGGAAGTGTAATTTTTCAGGGGTCACTATTGTAACAAAAATTACTTAAGGAACATGAAGATTAGTTGAATTTTCTGTGCCTTGATCTTTCCACTTTTAAGATGTGGATAACAGTAATACTGAGGGTTGGTTTGGAGACTTAACGAACCAATATAGAGAGTGCCAAGACCAGTATGCTGTTATGGGTGTGAGGTAATATGTTCTTTCCTCCAGTTGCTTTAAGTCGTTTTCTTTTCATTCCTCTTGCTCTCATTATAGATTTACCATGCATAGGTGGAGCTTCATTGTTAGGGTTGTAAGAAGGTGTAGCTTCCTTCTTAGGGTTGATATATTTCTTAAACCTGGAGTTGTGTCTTTCACCAATTTTGGAATACTCTCAGCCATGATGTTAAGTATCACCTCTCCTCTGGTTCCCTTTTAATTGCTCTCCTTTCCAGTCTTACCTAAGTCGTATATCTTAAACTTTCTCATAATCCTGCTTGTTTCTATTTTCATTGATGTCTTTATCTTTGTAGGCTGCCTTCCAGGTAATTTTCTCAGTTCAATCTTTCAGGGACTGAACATCTCTTCAGCTGCATCTAATTTACTATTTAACCCCCCATTGAAATTGTTAATTTCAATGTATTTTTAGGAGGTCTTTACTTTTCTCTACAAATCTGCTTGCTTTCTCATGGTGTCTTTTTATTTTATTTTTATTTTTTTAAGATTTATTTTTATTTAAACAACTGGGGTACAGGCCAGAGGCACGGGAGGGTGAGAGGATTCACCAGAGACAGAGCGTGGAGCATAACAGGCAGACGGACCGAAAACACTGCTGAGGGGAGCAGCGGGTGAGACAGGAGAGATCTGCCTGGCCGTGTGGGTTTCTCCCTGGCTGGCAAGGAATCGAACCCGCATTGCAGAAACTGCAGACAGTTTCACAGTGCTATGCTCAACCTGCTGTGCCACCGGGGAGGCCCTGTCTTTTTATTTTCTTATGGTTTATTTTTTAATTCTTCTTTTAATAATTTAAAGCACACTTGTTTCATAGTCTTTTTCAGATGGTGCTATGATCTCAGTTTTTTCTTGTTTTGACTGTGAACCCTCCTTTGTAGTAGATCCATCATTTCATTTCTTCCCGTAGTTTTTATTTTCAGTTGTGAGTTCATTGAAGACCTTAGCGTTTGTTGGGTCCTCGGTTATAGAATAATGTCTGGCATTGGTTTTCTCCTCCTAACCTCTAGCACCTGGGAGTTTCCCATCCTTTCAAGATTATTTTTGTCATTACTAAACTTTCTCAATGCTTCTCTGGGGGTGGCAGAAAGAGCATCACCATTGGCTTAGTCTGCATGGTTAATGGAACTAGAAGCCAAATTGAATATGTTATAAAGGTATCATTTTAAATCAGTAGGGAAAATAAAGACTATTTATTAAATGATATTAAGGTGACTTTAATAATTGGGGAGGGGAGCAGCAATTAGCCTAAACATACACCATAAGTAAAATAAACTGCAGACAGACAAAAGCTTAAATACAAAAGTAAAACTGTAAAAGTGCTAGATGAAAATAATGTAAGTAGGGAAAGCCTGTTTAATTATTCAACTGATGGTAAAATCCTCCAGAAGCTTTGACTGCAAAAAAGTTTAAAAGTTATGTACGTTGAAGAACTGCGAAAAAACCTTAAGAGCGAGTGACCAATTAGGAAGATATTTACAAGACATAATAAAGGTTTAATATCCTTAATCTGCAAAGAGCACTCGCACACTCGGAAGAAGATGTTACCACCTAATAGGGAATTTGACAAAGGACATGGATCAGTAAGAAAATTAGAAATACAACTGACCAACAAGCGTATTAAATAGGCTCCTCTCCACTAATAGCAGAAGAAATAGATTTTGAAACAAACTGTCAAATTGACAAAACATTTAAAAAAGATGATAATAACCTGCTTGATGAGGGAAAAAGGAATTCAACATGATCCTCTTTCCTGGGAAGCAATGTGTAGGGGGGTGAGTCGCTGCCTCCAAACAAAAGACAGGACCACGTCCAAACCCACGAATGTTACCTTCTTTGGAAAAAGGCTGTCGGGTAAGGCTGTCGTGACGAGAAGGTGGACCTGAATTACATGACAGTGTCCTTGTAAGAGACACGGGAGGAGAGGACAGAGGTGAGGTGACCACAGAGGCAGAGACTGGAGCGAGGAGGCTGTGGGTCGAGGGCAGCCTGCGGCCGGCCGCTGGGCTGGATGTGTAAGAGGACACGCTCCCCTAGAACCTCCTCAGGGGGCGAGGCCCTGACTCCTTGATTTTTCCACTTGCAGCTTCCGGAACTGCTGGAGGACATATTTCTGTTGCTTTATGCCACCACGGCTGTGGTCCTTTGTCACAGCGGCCCAGGGAAACTCCTGTGGAGCCAGAGAATGTTCCAGGGCAAATTGGGGGTGTGCACAGCAGACCGATCCAAACCATGCAGACCTTGCATCCTAGAAATCGCCAGCGTTGACCTGAGTGTCTGTCAAAGAGCTCTCGGCGAGCCCTCTCTTCAAGGGAAACCGAATAAACGGCCTAAATGCTCACGGTGAGCGGCTGGGCTGAGTGATGGTTTAGTCAGTAACAGCCAGTTCACGGGGGCCGTCCAGGTCCCCCACTGAGGCAGCCTTCCTGTCTCTCCCGTGGTCCCCACCACAGCCCCCCCAAGCTCAGGGGCACCCAGCTGAGGTCAGAGGGGAGGGTTGCTGCGCCCTCCCCCGGGTAGGGCCAGGATGCTGACCCAAGGCCTGTTGGGTGTCTCCCCCGTCCAGCAAGCCCACGGGGGCAGGTCTTGCTGCGGGTAATGCAGGAGGACAGGGGGACGCTGTGGCCTGGGTGGGGTGCAGAGAGCAGCTGAGCACATCTGAGTTTTGCAAAAATACAAAGTGCGCTGGACGGAGAGCACAGGGCTCCGCAGGCCTGCTGAGCAGGAGGGTGCTTCTGCGGGGGGGCTCGGCAATTCCGATTTTCTGCAAAGAACATAGATTGCTTTTGTGATCACAACAAAATATTGAAAACAAAGCCACACCCCTGTGCCTGCTGACCGCCTGCTCTGAGCTCGTTCAGGGCTGGGGAGCAGCGCCCAGCTGGGCTGGCCAGAGATGGACCCCCCCCCCGCCCCGCCGGCCCTGGTTCCTCTCCCTGTGCTTCTTACCTTCCCTGCATCCGCCCTTCCCTTCCGTGGGCATCGATTTTTTTCATCCTTCAGAGAAGCGCCTGAGGAAAAGGAAGAGCATCTTTGGATCAATGAGCAGAGCCCGGCAGCCCGGTCCGCCCGGCCTTGTCACTGCCCCTCCTGGACTTGGGAGCAGGTGGCTGGGGGAGCGGGGACTGGCAGGGCTGCCCAAGGTGGCCCTCATGGGGGAGGGGAGCCCCTGCTCTGTGGGCTAGGGGTGTGGTGGTGTGTGTGTGTGTGAGATGGGGCAAGACAGCGTGCAGGCTAAGGTGGGGAGTTGTTGCCACATGCTGGGCACAAGGAGCCCCCCTGGGGCTGACCCTGACCCAAGCCCCTCTGTGAAGCACAGCAGCCATCAACTCACCTCACAGCTCTGGGGGGAAGGTGCTGGAACCTGCTCACTGGCCAGATTGGGAAACTGAGGGCCGGTATTGTGTGAGAAAAAGAGGCAGGAGAGAGGAAGGAGGGGGCCGGAGGAGGGTAGAGAGAGAAGGAGAGGAGAGGTTGGGGGCCCTGCCCTTGGGTGCTTGCGATGGGGGAGGGAGCTAGGGGTGGCCACTCCTGGCCTGAGATTGGCCTGTGGAGGGCAGGGGCCCCACCCCACCCCCGGCCTTCAGGTCTGTCTGAGTCTCTCCTGCCCATCCCACCTGCTCTTCCTCCCAGCCCAGATCCCTCCTGGGCCCTGGTGCCCGCCCAGGGAACACCTGCTTTGGGCCCCCAGAGCAGCTCTAGACCCCAGGCTCCCCGTGCGTCTCTCCAGGACTTGATGAGATGACAAAGGTCCTTGAAGAATTTAGCTCACTGCTCGCCCGCCATCTGTCTTCTCCCAGACTAGGCTGAGCTCTGGAAAAGTCGGGCTGGGACCGTGGGGTCCTCTTGGCTGGGCCTGCAGTGCCCACCCCCTGGCCAGGCACCAAAAATGGCTCAACATATGTTTGTTGCATGAATGAATGAACCATGATAATTGCTGAGAGAGACGCGTGCAGATGGCCCGCGCGACGTTCTGTGGGTGGGCTCTGCGTGGCCCTGCGCACGTGCGCGCAGGTAGGCGTCCGTGCGCGACCTCGTGGGCATGGTGCGCGCGCGCGCACGTGTGCGGGTACGTGCGTACACAGAGCCGTGTGCACCGCGCCCACCGGGCTCGCACAGTGTGCCAGGCAGGTGCGTGCACAACCCGGTGCACACCCCAGCGGTGCCTGTGCTGCCCGAGGGCGCCCGCCCGTGCCAGCTCCCGCGCTGCTGCTCGCTCAGGGTTGGAGACGTCAGCAGCCCTTGTCGCACCCCTGCTTGCTCGCCCGGACCCGCAGCCCGAAGACCCTCTGCGCTTGCAGCCTCCAATCCCAGCTCCCACTCCCGCGCCTCGGCGAGGACCCTCCCTCCATCTGGCTTTGGGCCTGAGGGTCCAGCAGCTACACTCGAGTGGATGCTTCTGGAAGCTTGACTGACTTAGGGCACATCAAAGGTGTGCTCTTGGCCAGAGGCTTTTGCCTCTGGGTCTTCTCCTCTGCAGGATGACCCGAACTCCCCGACGCCTGTGAAGTGCTTGCTGCAGGACTGGGCTCAGAAAATAGTGTCCCGTGTGGCTGTGGAGCAACTCGGGTGACCGAAAACCAAGGTGATTCGGAGCTCGTGGTATCCAGGAATCACGGGGAAGTGAGCCAGACCACCTTGCCGTCCGGGGCAGACCACACCGCTTCCTCCTGGCCTTGGGGGGCGGGAAATGCTGCCACTGGAGGAGTCGGGGGTGAAGGGCTGGTGTTGGGTTCAGGTCCTGGTCCTGGAGCTGCCCGCAGGGCGGTCCCTGCCCTGTGGGTTGTGGGGCAGGTGAGAGGGGTGCCTTTGAACCGAACCAGACTCCTCTGGAGGCCTGTGCGGCTCCTCCTCTCTGCTCCAGCCACCCAGGAGGTCATTCCTTCTTCTTACACAATAGGCACTTTTCTGCCTCAGGACCTTTGCATGGCCTTTCCGGCTGCCTTCCCTGCCCCTCCTTCAGCTCACTATACCTCTGCGAGTCCCTGGCACTCACTGCCACCCCAGTTATTAGCAGCGAAACTCTTCTGTGTCTTAAGGCAGCTCTGAGGGATGGTGAGCTGGATTCTGACAGTGCCTGGGCAGTCTGTGGACTTGGGTTTGGGGTGTGGGGGGCCTGAAGTCTTCACTGCTTCTGAGGAGGCTCAGTCCCCCTGCCATCTCCTCTGGGTTGCGTCTTGCCTCGTGCTTCTTCTGGAGCTCTTGACACTCTATATTTTGATTATTTGCCTCTTGGTCTCCCACGAGGCTCTACCACTGAAAGGCGGGAACAGGGATTTTCCTTCTGCATCGTACCTCAGAGGGAGACTCCTGCCTGATGGCTCCCCAACTTTCTCACAGCTGGGAAGAAGCCACACCCTTCTGTCTTTTGAGACCCTCTGGTGCCACCCACCAAGAGCACCAAACACCCACCCCCCTCGCAGCGCCTTTCACAGCTTCCCTACCTGGCATCTGCCGAGGAGGCCTGAGGAGGCTGCTGGATGAGCACCTGTGCCATTTTGTTCAGGCAGGGCCTGGCTTCTGTGTTTGTTTGGGCTGCCGGGTCTCTGGGGGTGCCTCTGGGGCTGACTTGGGGAATGCGGCAGCAGCTCCCCTGTCTTCACCCAAGGGGTGGCAAACAACCCCCACCCCAGAAACCTGACCCTGCGGGCAGCTTGAAAAACTGGTTCTGGGAAGGAAGGGACGGCGTGGGGGGCGCTGTCGGGGAGCTGGGAAGAGAGTGGGTGCAGAAGGGAGGGAGGCACGGGGACGGGACTCCAACGCTCAGGGCCCTGGAGGCGCCAGGTTAGAAGAGCCCCGGCCGGATTCTCCCTGCGGCGCGTCCGGAGCGCGTGCCCCGGTGCCCCTCGCCGTGCGCGCCTGGGGGAGGGCGCTGGAGGAGGCGGAGGGGGGCAGGAACCCAGGGGGAGGCGGGCACCCCCGTCGCCCTAGCCTCTCGGGACTCCAGTGAGCCAAGAGAGCGCCCCGGGCGGCTTTTGCTCCGCGGGGAGCCGCCGGTCGCGCGCCCAGAGGCCGGGCCCGCGCGTCGTGTGCGCGCCCGGGCGTGCCCAGCTCGCCTCCACCGGCATAAATTCCCGAGCTGTCTGTGCATGTCTGTTTCTTTCACTAGAGGTTGCTCACTTTCACTTCTTGGTTCCTGCCGGCTCCTCTGACGGCTCGGGAGCGCCGGTGCCCACCCGCCCCGGGAACGGCGCTCTCCTGGCGCGGCGGGGATCGCCCTGCGCCCCGAGGGGCGTGAACAGCCAGGAGAACAGCCAGGAGAAAAGGCCCCTTCTTGGCAACGTGTCTGCAGATCTGGGGACCCCATGCCTCTCCTTCCTCATGGGCATCCCTCACTTTCTGCTGGGTCTTGAAACAGGCCTCCCCAGAAGCTGCTGCTACTTCTGACTCCAAAGCCCTGCTGTGCTCCCCTCACCGCCACAGCCCCCCCCAAACAGGAAACCACCTAGGCCAGACTGGGTGAAGACTCTCGCTCCACCCAGCAGGAAGCCGCATCCCGTGGAGGCGCCTTTTGCTTGGGACAGTAAGATCCGCATGGCCCAGAGGCCCTCCTCCACTCCCCTGTGGTGCCAGCCTGCTGACCTACAGTTCTTCTAGTGCATTCTGTTCCTGGGCCCAACCTCAGGGCCTTGGCACAGGACCCGGGCTCCAGGAGAACAGAGGCCTCCATGCCTCACTGATTGTGGCAAATAATTTAATCTCTCTGAACCTCCCTTTCCTTGCCTGTAGAATGGGCTCACCCCAAACACCAGGGGTTTGGGGACTCAAGGTGATGTCCAACAGAGCGTGGGACGGGTCACTGGACAATCCGTGGATTCAGGGCAGAAGTTCCCTTGCCTGAGGTCCCTCCTCTCCTGTGCTCAAGACCCTCCTCACCCTCAAGCCCGCCCCTCTCCTCTGAGAATTCCTCAGGATCTCATTGGCTGACCTTCAGCTACAACAACTCCCTGAAGGGCTCCTGCTGTGAGGGCAGGGAAGAGGCAACAGCAAAGGGTCCAGGTCTGGAGGCCAGAGAACGGTTCGGTTCAGATGCTGCTGGCTGTGTGATCCTGAGCAGGTTGCTCTGCCCCTGAGCTGCTCTGTGAAGCCGAGGCCCAGCTGCCAAGCCCTCAGCACCGGCCAGCCGGCGACGAGGACGCTGACCGCGGGTGGAACCTCATTCTGAGCGGCGAAAAGCCTCAGATGCAATTGGAGTCAGGCTTGAGGAATCAACTTGTCAACTGGATCTGAGGGGCCCCCCCGCCACCTGTGCTAATGGGGGGTGGCGGGAAGGCTGCTTCCAAGCAACATGCAGTTTGATGGCTTCTGCCACTCACTGGCCTTTGTCACAAGTTCCAACCACGGGGGTGCTTGAGGCTCTGTGACAGCCCCCAAAGGGAGCATGTTGCTGGAAGAGCCATCCCCCATCGCTCCTGAGTAGGCCTTGGCAGTGGGCTGTGGTGTGTGACCTTCCTTACCCTGCAACCTGCCCCCACTTTGACTCTCCTTCACCCCAGATTCTGCCTTCCGGTACCAGTCCCTGAAAGTGCCCCCAGGAGGGCCCCACTGAGGTCTCCTCTGCCCCAGGTAAAAAGGGCCATCTCCCCCCCATTCACGCCTCCTCCACTATAGACACGACCAACCGCCCAGCTCCTCCCGGCCAAGCTCATGGCCAGCTTGTTTGCTCAAGATAAAAACACCAGCATTGATTTTACAGCATGCTCATTATAAAACTGTAAAATAATATGAAATGTGTACATTGGAGAAGGAAAGCTCCCTCATTACCACCCCCCCCCATAAGCACTATCATCCATATTTGGTGAATTCCTCTGTGTTTGAATTCGCTCCCTTGTGACAGATAGAAAATCCAATCCAAAGAGCAGTCACGGGCTCACGTAGTAGAACAATGCAGATGGGGTTGTGGGTTTCAGGCATGGTTTGATCCAGAACTTCACGTTGTTGTTAGGGTCCTGGCTTGAGGTACCTGCATTTCTTTTCTCTCTGTCTCCTGCAGGCTGTCGGCAGAGTCCAGTTAGGATCTGCTGGGGTTCCTGATGTTACCCTCACATGGCACCATCAGCAGAGACAAGACTGGCTTGTTCTTGGTTCCTGAGGAAGAGCAAGGAGTCCTGTTTCTCAGTTGAAGAAGTCAAATAAGACTTCCTGCAAGAGGTGGGGCCAGTCGGGAGAGTCGGGGCCTCTGTGTGTATGGAGAGCACAGTGCCCTGTTACTTCCATGGGTACTGGAGACTCAGAATACTTAAGTCATGGATTGAAGAGGCTAAGGCAGCATACACAATGAATTGATGAATCAAGCTCCCACTTTGCAGGCAGAGCCAGGCCGGAATCCCAGGTTCTGTGGCCCCTGGCAAGCCAGTGTCATCGCCTTGAGCCTCAGCTTATTCATCATGGACTGCAGGCAGCACAGCCAGACTAAGGGGTTCTCAGGAGGAGGGACTCCCATCCTTCCCGGCGTGCAGTAAACCTGGCTGGTTGTTCTATAATCGTTACCGGTGCCTTTGTTTTTATTACCCCTTTGGTAGACCCTGCAGACACTGCCAGTCCCCCACAGGTACTCAGGAGATGAGCTGGGGCCCTGGTCATCATGCCCAACTCCTGGGGCAGTGAAGGCAGAGACTATGCCCGCCTAATGCCCAGCCAGAGGAGAGCACCTCCACCATCATGGAGCCAGGCAGCGTGCTGTGGAGAGGCCCAGCCCAGCCCAGGCCGAGCCCGGCGCTCCCTCCTGCACCCGCTCACACAGCCTCGGCCTCCTGTGTCTGAGGGAGCAGGTTTCCTGGCTGGGGCGAGTCCCCGCCCGCCTCGACTCCATCCATCTGAGTTTGGCGATGTGTCTGGCTAACTGGCCATCCTTCTTTCTCGCTGGCAGGTGAGTCATTAAGCACCAGGCCCTGAAAGCACCAGGCTGCAGCCTCAGCACTAAGTGCATTCGCAGCCATTAGTAGGAGGCCCCAGCCCGGCTGGTAGGGGCTGACGCATAGCCCAGCCTCACCGCCGCTCCCTGGGGGCTGCTCATCAAAGCTCTGTCCTTGGGGGCAGGACAGAAGCTCAGGAGGAAATCTGGGGGTCCCAGAGCCCTCATGGACATTTGTGCGGGTTGTTCACTGCACAACAATGCCACTTGGGAGGCAAGTGGAGCTGTAAATCAGCCTCCAGCTGCCTCCACGCAGCACGCGGCGCCCTGTCCCTAGCCCCTGAGCGCTACGGGGTGAGCTGCCCTCCCTGTGCTCTGGGAAGATGGTGTGTGAAAACTTGAGGATCTGGTTGTCTATTTTTTAAAATTTCATTTTATTGACTCCCTTTGGGAATATAGTTCTAGGCATTTTTATTGCATATATAAATTTGTGCAACCACCACCACCACAAACAAGACACAGAAGGGTTCCATCACTCCCCAAAAGGCATCCTCCGCTTGCTCCTACTGGGCTTCCCTGATGCATGCTCCCTCCACGGTTTGTCTTTTAGAAATGGGACCGTGCGGCGGCAGGTCATCTTTCCGGGTGGCCTTTTCCTCGCAGCACAGCGGCCTTGAGGCTCATCCAACGACTGCATGTATCCATGGTCTGTTCCTTTTCATTGCTGAGTAATGGTCCAACCATGGGTTTTGGTCCATTCACCTGCTGAAGGACATTTGCACTGTTTCCAGTTCGGGGTTATCACAAATGCAGCCGCGGTGACTGTCCACGCCTCTGTGCCACTGTCACAGCAATTTCCCAGAGAAACCAGGCGGCACTCAGAGAGGTGGAGAGAGATGGCAGGTGCAGTGGGATCGCTCCCAAAAGTCTGAGCCCCAAATTTCAGGAATGGTAAGGTCTTCTACAGTTTGTATGCGGAAACTCGTTACGCCATCCATCATAGACTTTCTTTATTGTTTGCGAAGGGGGTCAAGGTAGCCATAGCTACTGCTGTGGGCAGGCGGCACACCGCGGGAACTTTCCGCTCCAGCAAGCAGCAGACACCAAGCAGCAGACGCCAAGCAGCACACTTAGCAACTTCCTGCTTCACCACGACTTTGCATGGACAGAACTTTCCTTTTCTCTGGGATAAAGGCCCAGAAGCAGAATGACTGCTTCATGAGGCAAGAGGATGATTAACTCGTTAAGAACCGCCTCCCAGTGCTCCCGGTAGCAGTGCAGTTCTCGTCCACAGCGTGAGAGTTTCAGTCGCTCTGCAGATGCCTGCACTTGGCATCTGCAGTGGTTTCACCTTAGCCTCCTAGTGTGTGTGGCATGTCATGCGGGTTTGGCTCTCCTGTCCCTGATGGCTGATACTGTTGAGCATCTTTTCCTGGGGTTTGTTTTTTAATCCTGTGTATTTCTCTAGTCAAGTATCGTTGGAGTCTCTACCCATTTGTAGGTTAGATTGCTTTCTAACTGGTGAGTTTTGATTGTTCTTATATGGCCTCCATACAAATCCTTTGTCAGACGTGAGGTTTGCAAGTGTTTTCTCAAAATAGTGGCTTGTTTTTCCATTCTCTGAACAGTTTCTTTCACTGAGCAAAAGGTTTTAATTTTGGTGAAATGAAATTTATCGTTTTTCCCTTGTGGATGTTGCTTTGTTATCGTGTCCAAGAGCTCTTGCTTAACTCCAAATTCCCAAGATTTTCTGATATGTTTTCTAAAAGTTTTACAGGGAATGCATGGAGCTTTAGGATCCATGATGCAAAAAATCTGAGTTGATTTTTTGTATATGGTGTGAGGTAAGGGTTAAGGGTTTTTGGGTTTTTTTTGGATATGGATGTCTAATGGCCCCATAGTAACTATTAATGGAAGGAGGATCAAGGATCATTGCCTATCAATGGAAAG